ACTGCTCCTCCCCCCACCCCAGCCCAATGAAAATTGTGTTACTGGTTTTTTGGGTTATATATTCGATATAAGTTATATTCTCAATATAAGACAGTACGGAAAGTGTATTAAGAACGTTTTTTAGAAACTGAAATTTTGCTTAAATAATTATTGTCTCCATTCTTGAGATCATCCTCCTAAACCACCTCCCATGCCTGCATTCACATCTGAACTCACGCACACGCCGTGGGGACAATGGCTGTTTTGTTCAGCAACAACGTATAAATGCCAGTGCTTGACAAAGTAGGTGCTCGATAAACATTTAATTGTTTAAATTAATTATTCCAGTAATATATGTTAACATACTGCTTTTTAAACTCAGCAGTAAGCCTCAGACTTACATGATGCCACGTCCACCTTTCCAATGGCTGGCCAAGAATTCACTGTGGGCATAATGTATGTAAATAACCCCACACTGATGGAAGCGCAAGGTTTTCAGGCTTATAAACAGTGCTATAATGAGCTTCCCTGCATGGACATCTTAGCACTCTGTCTAGGATAAATTCCTAGAACTGCGACTGCTGGGTAAAAAAATACATAACGTTTCATACTTTGACACATATAGCCAGCCTACTGGAAAAGTTATTCCTGTCTACATACCCCATGATATTCATTTTCCAGTATCTGATAGGTTAAAAATTACTGATCCACTGGTGTTTTTATGCACATTCTCTGATTAGTGGCCAAGTCTGTGCATGTTTTCATGTTTACCAGTCACTCGTATTTCTTATGTTATTTTCTAATACGTGTCCTTTGTACATTTTTCTTCCACTAGATATGTGTTTGTCTTATTGATTTATAAGAGCCCTTCATGTATTAGTGATGTTAAGCCTTGTCTATCACATAATCCCAAACTTCTTTTTCCTAGTTCACTTTTTCCTAGTTCACTTTCAAAAACGTATGTTTTTGAAACACAAAAGTTTCAATTTACATAGTCAATTCTGTCAACCTTTTCCTTCAATCTTTCTGGCTTCTGTACTCTCCTTAGAACTAGGTATTTCACTCCCCAGTACTATTAAAAGAATACCTCCCTAGTAGTATTTTCTTTTTATACTTTTGAGCATTTCTGAAAGACGACCAGGAGATACTAATAAAACTTTATTAAAATGATCATGCCCTTTGCCTGAAATTCACCCTTTAGAATTTATCCTAAGGAAATAATAGATAGAAAGTTTTAAGTTTCAAGGATATTCACTAAAGAGTTGTTTACAATGGCAAAAAAACCCCCCAAAACTTTAAACGATGGGAAGTTCAAAAATGAAAGACTGGTTAAATCAATTATGGAATAACTATACCCATTAAAATACTAAAAAGATTTAATCAGATTAAAACATGTTGATTGCTAAAAGCGCAAATACACTAAGATCCAATTCATAAGCACCAAAAACCAATTCTAGCCAGGCAAAGAAAAAGAAAACTGTGTTTACACAGTAGTGGTTAGTTCTGAGTACTGAAAATAATGGCTGACCTTCCTTCTTTTCATTTGCTCCTTCTGAGCATGTTTGAATAAAAAAGGTTGAAAATTTAGTGCAGGCTCCAATTAATTATGCAGCTCTGACGCTGTTAAGCATGTCACGTGTGTTTTGGAAGGTAAGGGCGCCTTAGACTAGAGACTGTTACCCTTATCTTCAACCTTACAAATATAACTTTAACCTCATCCGATAACCAAGTTATAAAAGTGTTTTGAAATGTTCAATTGTAGTATAATAAATAGTGTGAAGATTATTAACCTTTTTATACTTTGGTTCCCTCACCTGTTGAATGAAGATAATACCTATCCTGATTAAACTCACAAGAGGTTGCTTAAACTGTAATTCACTGTATGTTACATAGAGAATGGTGCTAATAATATATTTTTATGTTCAACTATAAGATTACTGTTGCTTTTTATTTTTTTTGCTTAAACCCCTTTATTGAGGTATGACTGACATACAGAAAGCTGTACATATTTATTGTATACAACTTGATGAGTTTGGAGATAAGTATACAGCCGTGAAACCATCACCACAGTCTATGCCATAAATATATCCATCACCTCCAAAAGCTTCCTACTGCCCACTTCATTATTTCTGTTTCTGAGTCTCACTAGATTCTTCATATAAGTGGTATCATGAACTATTTTTTTCTTCTGTGTCAGGTTTATTTTACTTAGTAAAATGTCCTCCTGGTTCATACATGCTGTTACAAATGGCAGAATTGCCTTCTTTTTTAGGACTGAATAATAGTCCATTATAATTATCTATCTATCTATCAATCAATCTAATTCTAGTTGCTTTTTAAGGTAAATGTCATGGAAACATTAGCCCAATATCTTTTAAAAGAATATTTTTCACTTAGCGAAGAGGAAAAAAAGAAGAACCAGAAAAAAAGTTGCCTATCAAAATAGGTTGTAAGAGAATAAAAAATATTCAACAAGCATTTACTAACTGCCCAATATGAGCCAGGCTGGGGTTGGGGTAGGGAAGCATAACAGTGAATGATACAGTCTCTATTCTCAGGGACTTCATTCTGGAGGATGGCACATGACCATCCACAAACAGAACCACAGGCCATAACCTCTAAACCCTGAAGAGGCAGAGTGCCTCTCCCAAGGCAGCAAAGGACAGTCGGGTTTGAACATTGAAGGTCCACAGGAGCAGACACAGGAGCTGCCTCGTCACCGAGTTCTGGCGGGCAGCACTGAGGCAGTCAGTCTCCAGCAGTTCACACAGCCTAACCTGAAGTTAGGGAACAAACTGGTCGGGGATGCCCCATTCTGGAGGGGTTCCCCTGGTGAGTGTGAGGGGGAATCCCCATGAATGTGGTAGATGCCCAACAATAAAGATAGGGAGTAGAGGCCAGAACAGCTTCCTGCTCGCTGGCAGAGGACTGGGAGGGGCGGGGGGAATTCTTAAAAACTCCACCTAGAGAATGAGGAGATCCCCTCCTGCCACTCAAAGTTCCCTGGTATGGGGTGTTCTGAGACATCTGTGGTGACTGTCCTCTTGCACTTTGTTTCTGACTCCATTGAGGAAGACAACAGAATATAGATTCACATGCATAGAACGGTAAACATGTAAATACATATACACACACACACACAAAGATACATGCACCACGCTCACACTGTTTGGCTGTTAGGGGTCCAGCGGTCCCAGAATCGAAGTCGTTCATTTGTACCACTGGAATCCAGTGTTGTTTATATTCATAATTAGTCCAGATTAAAACACAATTCCAGACAGAAGACAATGTGGGTTTTACAAAATATAAGGTAAAGATACATGTCTGAGAAAAATTAAGTCCTGACACAATTAATACCACTATGGATTCCAACATTTTTGGTGATTCTAGTGCTACCAGAAAGCAAAAATAATACTACTAGCATAAACTTGTATAGTGCCTGTTAGATACTAGGCAAATAAGATGAAAAGGAACAAAGACATGAATTTAACAGTTTTGGAATGAAAGCACCCTTTAAAGTTGAAATAAAAATTCTCAAGTTATTTTCACTTCCCATCATCTGAATCCTAGATAAGCAATTAACCCCTCTTTTTACGGAGAAGGCAATGGTAATTAAACTATAATAAATAATGCATTTATTTGCAAAGTGCTGGAATCTTAAAAATGCATTACGGACAAAGCACTGTATTATTCTTACGTTCTTCCATATGTTACATGGGAGCACATATTATATACAGCCAAGTAGGCAGAATCCTCTCATTTCTCCAAGGTACAAATTAGGTCAGCAACAGAGATTCTATTGCCCTGAACTACCCAACTAGTAAAACGAAGCAGAACAACATTTAAAAGAAAAAAATCACAAACTGTAACAACGTGAGGACCTATATCAGAATTTCAAGTTGTTGATCACTGGTGACAATATGGATAGGCGACGATATGATCATTACTGGAAAAATAACCCAAAGCCAAAATCTTTGAAACAAAGTGCAGGTTAGCAGCCTCGTTCTTTACATTAAAATTACATTTCATCTACAAGGCAGAACTAATGTTTTTTTGGTTCATATACTGCTCATTTATATGGGTACCAAAGTTACAGTGAATTAGGTGAAAGTTACTTTGAATAAATCTGTATAATCAATAGTAGGGTCTGGATGTGCATGCATGTGTATAGTCCACTATAAATATTAGGACAAATGGTACATACAGCACGTCTAGGAAAATCTGGTTTTTAAAGTTAATGTTGAAAAACCTACCATATTCCACATTATATCATTATATATTCAAAGCCGTAAATGCTGTTATTCTAAAAACAGAAGTTTCTTAAGAGAACAGTATCATAAAACCAGAGGGCCTAAAAATTGCAACACGTGCTCTTTATAAAATATGTAACTTCCACTAATATATAATGTAGAATATAAAAGCCTCTAATACTGGTCTATAACTGCAAAGAGTTCATGGATACTTCTCATTTTTTCTATGCACATCCTACTATACGTCAATGTAAAAAATGTACCTTGCCATATAAATACCTTTTCCACTCAATAATTGTCTCGAACATATTTTAGTCCTTGATTAAACTTTTATTTCTTAAAAGAGTAAAAAATCTCTCCACGCTTTGTGAACATTTTTTTTTTTTTTTTACCTGAAATCGGTTTGAATAAAAGTAATTTAAGATTTATCTCACACTTAAAAATAGTCAAAACGAGTCTCGACACTTTAGAATTCACTAAACTGAGCACGGTAAAAATTTAACAGTGAGTATCAGGGCTCTCAGTTGGAAAACCTTTTTCTGACAAAGCTGACTATGATTTTGCGTTTAACAGCTCAATCTGTTCTTCCAATCATTCTAAATTCCACATGCAACGTAAACAGTCAGAAACCAGAAGTCTTAACAATCAATTCTGGTCTTTGAACACCCAGCGGCCAGAGCCCCAGACCACGTCCGCGGCGGCAGGCCCCTCCCCGCTCCCGGGGGAACCCTGCCTAATATTTATAACGTTATGACATACTGTAATACTCACAAGGTGGTTGTAGAAGTATAAACACCACTGGCGCTATCTGATTGGCTGCTGGTGATGTAACACCCATGTCAATACTTCCCAGTGAACGCACGTGTTCGACCTTTTATTTAAATTTCCATTTCATCACAGCAATAAGACACTCGGGGCGGTGCGTTTTCTGTGAAACGATCGTCGCCTCGGGCCCGAGGTGCTGCCTGGCACTCGCGGCGCCTCCGCCCGGGTGGCCGTGGCCGCAGGCTCCTCGCGTGAAAGGCGCCGCCCGGGCCAGCCTTTGTGAAGGAACAAAATAAAATAAGTTCACTTCCTCAGGCGTCGCCACCCACCCCCAGCAAATGACACGGCTGGAGCGCAGTTATTTCCAAAGTCCCAGGTGAACTCGTGGCGAGAGAAGGAAAATGAGCGTCCCGGGCGCGGGTAGGTGCGCGCGGGCGGCGGGGAGGCGGCCGGCCCC